ATATTCTGTGCTGCTCTAGATTGAATACAAATCACTCAGTCAAAGCCTAGGTTACATTAGGAAGTGACAGAGTCAGTGAGGTGAGCACAGGTCCGTTTACCCACGCGCCACACTCTGCCCTGGGCAGCACGAGGTAACAGGGATGAGGACAGCACCAGGGCTCTAGGCCGGATCAGTGAGGGACGGCAAGGTTGGGGGGACAAGTAAAGGAGGAATGGTTGGAGCACTGAGAATCAGGTTCAACCCAGTAATTCAGGAGACACAAAAACTGTCCTTAAAGGTCATTATATGGATTAGACGCTCTTTGGGGTGGAAATGAAGGATTGTAATTCTTTGTTTGGCTACAGAAAAGGAGGGACCTTTGACCACAGGCAGCTGTCCAAATGGAACAGACAGGTCCAGGAGAGAAAGCATTTCTTGCCCCTGGCAAAGTCAAAGCACAAGCCCTTTGCTGGAACTGTCCTGCAGGCACCTAAACCCTGGAGGGGCAGTCAGCCCCTTCTGGTGACCAAGGCCAGAAGCTCTGGCCTCCAGGGCCACCCTGCCCTTGATGGAGCCTGGTTTCCAAATCTACTGCCCCAACTGCTGGTTCTGTGCTGTGGGAGGTTTTATTAGGATCTGTTACCTGTCAACACAAGGGCTGCAAAACATGAAAGTTGGAAACAAGCTTGTCCTTCAGGTTCCTGGGGGCCAGGAACAAAGGCGATGTTGTATGTGGTCCACTTACATGACGTTACAATCCCTGTAACCTTCAGACCCAGAAGACTAACCTGCAAAGGAAGTCTGTGGGGATGGGTGGTGCTGTGAGGAGTCAGCCAAAATCGCACCGAAACAGCAGCTATCTGGAGAACCTCGAGGCACTGCCCTCTTTTTCATTATACGCACTGCCTTTCAAACGCCGCCTCAGTAGGGAAGAGTTTCTCTTTAGGCTACAAAATACACCCGAAGCCTGGCACTAAAAGTGGGCAGCTGGAAACACTATGTGTTGCATGAAGCACGGAAAAGGTGTCCACAAACTAAATTTGGGGGGAAAAACAATCGCATGTTAAATGTATAGAGGTGAGGAATTTTTAAGTAGAATTCTGTAGTGATATTTTAAGGAAAGAAACTCTTTTCTGAAATTCAAATGCCGTTTTCATTTTAAAGCAGCTATCAGAGTTCAGAAAAATATAATTGACCCACCCAAGAGTCCTGCATCCCAAAGCCCATCATTATTTTATTTTGGTATAGAATTAAGAGACAGCACAAGATGCTAAGTACACTTCTGAAATTCCAGAAATTTAGTTTTTTAATGACTGAGTTTGTTCAAAATAAAAGCAGATGAGGACTCAAGAGATGCTAAAATATTCTAAAGCTGTACCATGAAATCTGGTCCATCACATCTGAGATGCCTCCACATTGGATTTCAATGACTTGGTACCAAAAAAAAATTGCAACATAGCTTTTGCCTTTATAATGTTGTGCTATTTATACGTTGAAATGATATTATCTTGGAATATATTAAATTAAATAGATTAAAAGGAAAAGGAAAAAAAGTTAAGAGATTTCAGGACCCAACCTGATTCCAGGCTGCATTTGCAGGAGCATCTTATTTTTAACAGCTTTTTGGGTGACATTAACTGTAGACAGGTTTACACAAAGCAATACAATAAAATGTGTGTATATATATATATATATATATATATATATATATATATATGATCTCATTAGGATGGGCACACCTCAAGCCTCACCTCCTGCCAGAGGCCACACATGGGTGATACCTCACACTCAAAGTGCTGTCCTTTATTTTGAAGTAATTCTCCTGAGGTGGATTTTGAAGTCCAGTCCACACATGCTCTCTCCCCCACCGCTGGAATCCTACAGACAGAAGCAAGGACACAGACTGGCAGGCGAACTGTGGTCTGCGGGAGGAAGTGAAAGCCAGGCCTTCTACACCAGTGGTTTCCAAATAGCATCACACCGAGTCCATCAAACCCACCAGCGTGCAATCCAGGAATCAAGACTCCTGCCCCAGCCAGCCCCAGGGCGGTGCTGACCTCAGCAGCTCCTGCCCAGCTGCTGCTGAGAAGGCAAACACCTCACTTTTTACCTAAATCAACCTCTGAAGATTCTGCTGTAGCTTCCTAACTAAAGGTAAGAGAGACCGTCAGTCCCAGGTCCCAGCTAGGGAAAGGAAAATGGAAATTAGATTCCAGCAAACCAGTCCAAAGTTCTTTCCACCACACTGTACATTACCTACCCTAAAGTCTCCAAAGAAAAAGTCTCTAAAGTCTCTAAAGTCTCCAAAGAAAACTGGCCCTAGAGCCTGGGGCATGATTAAGAAGCTAGTATTCTGCATAGTAAAGGGCACCCTAGTTGGCAGGGCACCTGCCTGGTAACACCTGCCTGTAATCCCAGATACTCAGGAGGCTGATGCAGGAGGACCATGAGTTCATCTCCAGCCTGGGAAATTTAGCAAGATGCTATCTCAAAACTTAAAAATAGAAAAAGACTGAGGATACAGCTCAGTGTAAGATCCTGCATTTAATCCTCAGTCCTGGGATGGGGGAACTTTGACTGCAGTTGTCTGTACAACTCTGAGCCAAGTTACTCTCTTGCCTTGACTTCCTCACCTGAAAGATATCATTAACAACATTTCCATCACAATATCGCCAGGGAGATAAATACTAGCTATGATGTCTGGGCTATGGACCCTCATTAATGGAGATGACTGTGATTATTACTATAGAGACATTCAGGGATGGAAAGCCAGGAGGTTCACTATAGAAACGCTACAGTACTTTCTCAGTTATTACTCCAGAAGCTGAGCCAGGGCCCTGTCTTGGAAACAGTGACCTGAGAGCCATGAGCATCTCAGGAGCCCACAAGGGCAGATTCCTGGCTTTGAAGAAAAGAGAAGCACAGACAAGACTTTCCCGCCAAAGAAGGTCACCGAAAGCTGGCCCGGTGTCGAGTTGGGGAATATGTTGGAGGGGGCACAGCACCAACACAGCAACCTGTGGTTTCTATTCTGGCACAGTCCGAAGGCTTCATCCCAGGGACCCCACACTGAAGGCCGCATCCCGGGAACCCCACACTTACTATACAGATGTCCATTTTGGAACTCACCTCCACAAGGTCTGGCCATATGAGGACCGCACAGGATTTTCCCAGCCCTGGACTGTGCCTCAATGAAGGTTTCTTAATGGGAAAATGAAACGCTGCTCTAAGCGTTAGCAGTACTAATCAGTAACACCCTTCTGGAAGGTTATCAGCACCAGGCCAGCAAAAGCATAAACAAGAGACTGTTCACCCAGCAGGTGCAGGATCGGCCTTCAGATCAGGGAGGAAGAAGAAATGTATCATTAACAGCAATAACGCCCTCAGCGCCTGACCCTTGAGATATGAAACATGTAAAGAACTGAGGCCTTCAAGGTGAAGAGGGCCTCAAAGGGAGGAAAACTTAAAACTATCAGGCTCTCTTCTGCCTGACACAGTTCTTTGATCTGCAGCATCTCCCAAGGTAATTACCCAGTGACTATGACCATGGTGACCAGCACCTGCAGCCTCTATGTTCTCTTGCAGAAGACAATTCTTTAAAAGTCTTCATGCTCACCCAAAAACCACTTCCTTTCTGGCATTTCTGTGGACGTTCCTAGTTGTGGTCTCTGGACTGTCAGAAAGCAAATGAACCCTCCTGCTCACACAGCTTGCAAACAGGGAAAGACAGCTCTGAGCGATTTGACGGCCAGGAAGATAAGGCTACGCGAGCAGTGACATGGTTCAAAGAGAAAGCAAGGACTCAAGAGCAGGCAATTTTAAAAAACACAACCAAAATACAAGAGCACAATAACTTAACTGTCATTAGAGCAGTATCTGCTGCACACAGCCTCTTGAGAACATCTTTAAAGAAAAGTTTGCCAAGGAATACCAGAAACTAGGAACTAGACAAAAATCCAACAAGGGCCCTGATGGCAAAAGACACATTACAGTCGGCTGTCAGTATTTAGCTTTCACATAATACAGAGAAGAGAAGAGGAGAATCTCATGTCAAACAGTACAGGAAACCACTTTTTGGACAAGTAGATTAAGTCTTGTTGCACTGCAGCTGGTACTTAATGGATACAGGGAGAAAGATTAATTACTCTGGATAAAAAAAGAAAAGACCTCGATGCAGAGACCATCAGAGTCGAGGGGAGTCACCCTACCACTGTACAGATTGAGGACCAAGGAAAGGACGGGAGTCACCCAAGGTGGCTGAAAGACTGGCAAATGGCAACAAAATCTCTTGAATCCGCACCTCCTCTCTTTCCAATAGATCGTGCTATCTTATTTCAACAAGCGTCACAGAATTGCAAAACATCCATTTAAATCGGCCAAGGTACAGAAAAAATAAAACAGAGGTCTTTCCATTCCCCGGTTAATGCCTGGGCTCCCCTGTGGCACAGCCAAGCCAAGGACATGTTCCAAACCATATTTCCTATTTTTCGTAAGACACACAAAATTGCAGGACATTCAGCAACCAAGTCGACAGAGTGATGAGTTTGCAGGAAAAAAAAAAAAAAAAAAAAAAAACATGTACAAACAGGGAGCCACGCCCAGAGCCAATCTAACCCCAGGCATGGAGAAGGCAGAGCTAAACAAATAGGACTCTGGGGAGGAGGAGCCCGGCTGAAGCCTTGCACAGCCAGGTTTCTCTCGGGAGGCGGGAAGGCAAAAAGCTGCTAAATCCCAGGGACACCGGGCTTCGAGCCACTCTGGGTGACCTCGGGCAAGCTCCTAGCCAGCACCTCCCAGGCCTCGGTTTCTCTTGCGGTTCGAGGAGGGCGCTGCACCACCTGACTCCCCAGGGTCTTGCAGGTCTGTACTGAGACCTGATGTCCCATTTTTAGCCATTCTGGGGCACCGCTCCCGCAGCCGGCGAGGCAGGCTCTCCCGCCCAGGAGAGCGAGCGAGCCCCCTTGCGGAGCTTGCATAAAGCCCGAGCTGCTGGTGTGAATGATCCGCTGATCCCTCACCTGTCAAACAGGACAGGAAGCCTCCCCAACTCGCTGGGTCCAGGGAGGCCGCCCCAGGATCCGGCCCCGCTCCGGGTCACTGGGAAGGTCGCTGCCGCGCTCAGGTCCGGTCGCTAACCCGGGGAGCCTGCCCCGGAGTATCTGCTCCGCTGGGAGGACGGCGAGCAGGGCACCCGCCAAGCCGGCCACCGCTGGCAGCGGGCAGCGGGCAGCGGGCAGTGCTGGCACTCACCGTCTGGACTCCGGCTCCGGGTCCGGGTCCAGCCTCCGCACACCCCAGCTGGTCGGCTCAGCGCGGGGTCCTAACCATCCTTTTGGCTGCCCTGCAGCCGCTTCCGGACCCTGTCACGTGACACTGGAGCCCCGACCGGGGTCACGTGGTGTCGCGCTCCACCTCCAGTGCCACTCCGTTCTCTGCTCCACAGCACCACCTAACGGCCTAATCCTGCGATTTCAGGAAGGACCGCGTTCGTGGGAACCTACTTGTGCAATCTAGGGGAGCTTGGGCGGAGTCCCCGAGGGTGGGTTTTGAAACAGTCATAATCTCTGCACTTGCTGTGTTTTCTGTAACATAGCTTCATGAGCACATGTTGCTTTTATAATCGGGAAAACGAATCTCATCTATGGTTATTACTGGAAATGAGAATTTGGGGTCGAGCCACACTGATCTTTCGATGTATTCTCAAAGGATAAGTGATTTTTAAAGAGATGACATTGCAGTATGTTTGAGTGGTATGCATTATCAAAGCTTCTCTTTCTTTCTGCAGATTTGGCTATTACTGGTACTGGGGATCGAACTCATGACCTTGCACTTGCCAGGCAGGCGCTTATACCACTGAGCTAAATCTCCAGCTTTGCAGATTTTTCTTTAAAGTTATGAAAAAAATAGACCTCGCGTCCAAAAACACAAAGGTCATTATTTAATAACAGTAACTCATCAATAATAGCAATTATATGTGTGTATATGTGAAGCCAAATTGCCAACACTTCAGCACATCAGCGAACTAATGGATATAAAGGAAGAAATAGATGTGATACAATCATAGTAGAAACCACTTCTTTAATGGATAAGTCAACCAGATAAACACTTAATACGGACATACTAGACACGAATTACACTGTAGGCCAAATGAACAGAACCACAGCACAGCTTTTGGATAAAAAGGAAGGGGCGTGTTTTATTGCTTGTATGCATAATGAATCTCTAGAAGAACAGACAAGAAAAAGTGTGACACTTAATGGTCTCATCTCACCTGATTATATTCCCCACTTACCTCTTCTTTGCCTTCAATATCCGGCAACTACCTTGAGACCTTCAATCCCTCCAGAGGTGTTCCTGCAGGCCCTGATATGTACTCACATACTCAGCTCAAATATAATCCCCAGAACTGAGGGATGAATCCAGGGTCTTCACATTGAGCGACATCCCCAGGCCTCCTGCCTTAGTTTTTATTTTGAGAGAAGCTCTCACCAAGTCACTAAGCAGCCCAGGTTAGAGTTGAACGGGCCATCTGCCTGCCTCAGCCTCCCAGAAAGCTAGGATTACAGCCACGGGCCACCCTGCCTCTCCCCACTTTACCAATCTCCAGAGAGCAATGCCTCTGCTCTCACTCGGGGAACTTCTGAGGCTGGTTTGAGTAATTACTTGCTATGAGCATTTATAATTCTTTTTTTAAAATTTTATTTAAAGAAAGACTAAACAAAACAGAAAATGGGTAGAAATAAAACATACTTACAAAAAAAGAATAAACAGTAAGAAATCACTAGTTGATATTTACATACTCTCTTCTTACAAATAGTTATTCAAGATACAGAAGTGGAGCATGTAAAGTGGGGATTCAAACAGCGCGACTGCAACCAGTTCCGTTCAACAAAAACTTAGTGATATGGTTATCAATCCTATACACTTAAACATACATACAGTTCTCCATACCTTCGGTTATGTTGAGAATGAACAAACCCAAGCAGGCTAAAATCACTCTGAGCACAGAATAATAGTATTGCTGGGTTTCACATAATGACACTCCTGGATCAGCACTCCTGGATCAGTGTGTCTGTTTTTTTTTATTATTTAGAAAAAGATTAAGATAAAAGAAGACATAAAAAAGGTAATAACAGAATAATTTAAGCAACATAGTGTTTCACCACAAGACAACCTGACATAACAGTAGCTACCATAGTGTCTCTTTCCTTGAAATATTGGAGTATACCTTCATATACTATAGTATCAAACATAACAAGGCAGTGTGAAACCATTCAAGAGAATGAAATATTACAGGGTATTCACAACAAACTAACAGAAAACGAACAATGGTTACTATATTATCTCCTTTTCATAAAAAATATTGTTTATACTATCACCTATAATAAAATCCAGTAAGATACAACATGAAAAACCAACAGAGACAGAAGAACAAAAGCTTATGGGACTTCAAAACTAGATGCTATTAAAGCAGTGCTAGCTATTATAATGTCTTGTTTTCTTCAAAATAGCTGTTTGTACCATAACAGACAATAAAGTCAAACAACCCAGAATAAAACCATCCCAACTAATGAATGAAAACATTATAAGGCTTCAAAGCAATATAATGGGGGACTCATGATTATCACATATTTTATGTATTCTTACCATTTCTGACACTAGGGAAACCATTCAGTATTTATACATGTGAGTTTGATTTATTTCACTTATGAGTATGGTCTCAAGATGCATCCATGTATTTATAAACATCTCAATGTTTTTAATTTATAAACATCTCTGAAAAGTGTTATATAAAAATACTACATCTTTTTTATTCATTCCTCAGCTGATGGACACTTATGTTGTTTCCAAGATCTGGCTATTAAAAATTTGCTGCTATAAACATGGGTGCACATATATCACTGTGATATGATGTTTTTCAGTTCTACTGGGAATATACCTAGAAGTGGAATAGCTGGAAGAAATGGGACTTCCAATCCCAGCTTTTTGAGAAATCTCTAGACTGACCTCCACAAAGGTTGCATCAGTCTACACTCCCACCAGCAGTGCAGGAGAGTTCCTTTTTCCCCACGGCCTCTCCAGCATTTGTTGTTGGTAGTTTTCTTGATCCTGGCCATTCTTTCTGAAGTGAGATGAAATCTCAGTGTGGTTTTAATTTGCATTTCTCTAATGAGTAATGATGATGAACATTTTTTCATGTATTTATTTGCCATTTATATTTCTTCATCTGAGAAGTATGTATTCATCTCAGATGCCCATTTTTGGATTGGATCTTTGACTTTTGGGGGTCTGATTTTAATTCTTTATATGTTTTAGACAGAAGTCCTTTGTCTGAGGGACAGTTCACTAACATTTTTTCCCAGTTTGTGGGTTTTCTTTTCACTATGCTGAAGATTTCTTTTGATGTGCAGAAACTTTTTAATAAGAGGTGATCCCATTTATTGATTCTGGGAAGTATTTCCCATGCTGTTTGATTCCTCTTCATGAATTCTCTACCTACCCCTATGTCTTCAAGGTTTTACCAATTTGTTTTCCAATAGATTTAGTGTTTCTGTTTTAATATTCAGATCTTTGATCCATTTAGATTTTAATTTAGTACATGGTGATAGGCATGGGTCTAGTTTTAGTTTTCGGCATATGGAGAGCCAGTTTTTCCAACATCATTTATTAAAGAGACTATTCTTCTTCCAATGAACATGTTTGGCCCCTAATTCAAAGATAAGGTGGTTGAGTGTGTTTGTAGTTGTGGTTGTATCTTTTAATCTATTCCACTGATCTTCAGTTCTGTTTTTATTCCAGTACTATGTTGATTTTACTATGATTGCTTTGTAGTGTAACTTCTATCAAGGATATGATGCCTCCTGCCTTGCCTTTGCTGCTTAGAACCGTCTTTGCTATTCTAGGGCTCTTCTGGTTCCAGATGAATTTTAGGAGTGATTTCTTTAGACTTATGAGGTATGTGATAGTATTTTAATTGAGATTGCATTGAATCTGTATAATAGTTTTGGGAGGATGGCCATTTTCACAATATTTATTATTCCTATCCGTGAGCAAGGGATGTCTTTCCATTTTCTGAGATCCTCTGCAATTTTTTTCAGTGTATTATAATTCTCCCTATATAGATCTTTCACTTCTTTCGTGAGAATCATCCCTAAATATTTCATTTTTTTGGTTGCTAGTGTGAAGGGTGTGGCTTCTCTTATTTCTCTCTCTGTGATTTTGTTGTTGTGTATAGGAATGCTAGTGATTTTCGAGTATTGATTTTGTATCCAGCTACATTGCTGAATTTATTTATTATATCTAGCAGTCTTTCAATGGAGTTTTGGGGATCTTCTATGTAGAGTATCATGTCATGCACAAATAATGATAATTTAACTTCCTCTTTTCCTATCTTTATCCCATTTATTTCTCTCTATACTCTAATTGCTCTGGCTAGTATTTCCAGTACTATAGTAAATAGGAGTGGTAATAAGAGACATTCTTGTCTTGTGCCTGATTTTAAGGTAAAGGCCTTCAGTTTTTGGCCATTTAGTACGATACTGGCTGTTGGATTGTCCTAGATGGCCTTTATCATATTGAGATAAAGACCATCTATTCCAATTTTGTGTAAGGTTATCATGAATAAATGTTGGACCTTATCAAAAGCTTTTTCTGCATCTATAGAAAGGATCATGTGATTCTCACTTTTGGTTTATTTATATGGTGGATTATATTTATTGATTTACATATGTTGAACCATCCCTGCATGCCTGGGATGAACCCCACTTGGTCATGGTGTATAATCTTCTTGATGATTTGCTGCATCCTATTTGCCAATATTTTATTGAGGATTTTTGCATCTGTGTTCATTAGGAAGATTGGCCTGTAGTTCTCTTTTTTAGTTGGGTCTTTCTCAGGTTTTGTTACTAGAATAATATTTGCTTCCAGGAATGACTTAGGAAGGATTGCTTCCCTTTTGGTTTCATTGAAGAGGTTGAGGAGTGTCGGCATTAGGTCTTGTTTGTATTTCTTGTAGAATTCTGCAGTGATTCCATCTGGGCCTGGGCTCTTCTTTGTACGTTAGGACTTAATTACATTTCCAATTTCATTAATAGAAAATGGGTTTTTCAGCAGTTTTACGTCTTCTTGACCTAGCTTTGGTACTTCATAAGTTTCTAGGAATCTATCTATTTCTTCTGTGTTATCAAACCTATGAGAGTAGAGGTTTTCAAAATAGGTTTTGATGATCTTCTGTATTTGTACAGAGTCTGTAGTGATTTCGCCGTTTTCATTCCTTATTGCATGAATTTGAGCTTTTTTTTCCCCTTTTTTAAATAAGGGTGACTAGGGGCTTATCGATTTTATTTATTCTTTCTAAGAACCAACTCTGA